AATGATGGTATGCATTTAAAGATTATTATTGAAAAAATATAAAATATGTAGATCAAATATAATATACTTAAAATATTGACTATAATATCTAAACACATAAAACTTGATTAATAAACAAATCCGAATAACACTGCTGGCTAATAACAATATAATCTTATATTATTCACAGAATATACATTTTCTATTTTACAGCAAGTATGCTTTCATGTATTACATGTGAAAAATAAATTAAAGGAAGACAAATTATCTAAAAACAGTTTTTAAGTTGTGAAAGTAATACTGTATTTCTGCATTGTATAGTTATAGCTATTTTTTTTTAAATATAGTCTTAGTAGTAGAACAGCTAGCAGCATAATCAAATAATTTATATTAAATATATATATATATATATATATATATATATTGTATATATATTTTTATGATATGAGTGGAACAAATATTAAATGTTAAATATGAACAACACAACACTCAAATTTTTACACACTCTTTATTTAATAATTACAGACATGTCGAGACCCTGGTATGCCTCATCTTCAGTGTAATTTCAAGACAGTAAAAATTATATACTAATATATTATTTAATATTTTATTTAAATTATATTTTATTTTTGAAAAACAAAAAACATTATATAAATAACATTAATAATTTATAATTTTTGTTTGTTTATTAATTTCATTCATTTATCTAATTCTCTTCAATAAATTAATCTGTTTTCACATTTGTTAATTTTAGTATGCAATTGCGCACTCCTTTTGTTTACATTATAATAATATCTACCTTGTCCCTTAATCTTCTTCGACACTTAAGATTTGTTTTCAAATCTTTTTGTATATATTCACATGTTTAGTACTGTGTCAATCATAGTACGAGATAGTTGGTGTTTTTTGTTTTTCAAAAATTAAATATAATTTAAATATAATATTTAATAATGTATTAATAAATGGCATACCATGGTCTCGAAACGTGTAATTAATAAATAGGTAAATGTCTGTAATTATTAAGTGTGCAAAAATCTGAGTGTTGTGTTGCTCATATTTAACATTTAATGTCTAATTCTGCATTCAGATAAAATAAACCAAGTTTTTCAATATCACAGAATATAAAAAAGTGATATATGAAATAAGTTTTGCTATCATAACTTAAAACAGTATGAAGAAAAATGGTAAATACCCAAAATATTAAGCAACATGAAAAATAATGCTAAAGCAGGTTTACATACTTAAAAGAAAAAAATTATTTTATGCTGATATAAGAAACAACAGAATCAGGAAGATATATGTATCTTCTGCACCATAATGAAATAAATTAAAAAAATGTTTCATATACACTATGTTATTGTTATGAACACATTATTCAAAATACATGCAAAAACGATACATTTCAAAAGATATTGCTAGCTGCTGGACTAGTGATTCAGTTAGCAGCGCTTTCACTTTTAATTATTTCTGCGTCAACGCAATTAGACCAATATCTAACTAACGGATAGTTCCAATATTGCAATAGCTGCCTTTTTTGATAACTGATTCTATAGCAAACAGATTTATTTATAAAATATTAAGGCAAGAATAATTATTCTAAAGGCACTTTTTAAACAAAAACGGAGCTGGTTCGAAGCACCATAAATATAAAATATTTAACAAACAATTTTAAAATGCTTAAAATTGCGGCATTGCAATCTTTCAAACTTTTTAGAAGTTTTGGCACTTCTATATATATATATATATATATATATATATATATATATATATATATAAATGTATATATGTATATATTTGGCAGCTGACCTGCTAGTTCAAATAATATACAAACCTTGTAGAACATTATGAAATATTCACAATTACATTTAACACCAATCAGCCATATATGTGAAATCGCGGAATAACTTTTGTTCATCCTCTGTAAGAATTCTTGGTTCTTTAGGTGGTGTAAGTTGTGGTCTTTCTGATGTGAACTCTTCGTCAAAGTTACTTACATCTTCCAAAGAAGTCTTGAAATTATAATAAGATATTTAAAACAAATTACCAAAAATATACTGTAATGTGTAATACTCAGTTTTTTTCTTTAGATTTTATGCTATACTTACGATTGTAGGAATGAAGGGTGGCTTAACCTTTCTTAGTAATAAATCATCCCATACAATTAATCTGAAAAATGCTTGTTTTTTCACATCTTCAGCATCTCGTTCACTTGATCCTAATCTTCTTTCAGGATTCTTTCTCAACAGCTTTAAATTAGAAATTATCATGGTGAAACGGTGGTTGCCATAAATAATTTAGATTTTGAGAAATCCTCTTGTACATATATTTTTGTAAAGCTAAGTATTCAAACTACCAAAACCATACATAGACGATTAATAAGGATAAAAGCAGTAACATGTATAGCAATTTGTCGATAACTCAAATAAATTACTGAGACCAGTTCTGCTATAAGGATATTAAAAAAACGTGGCCATAGGGCCTTAATTAGAGTACCACTCACTGGAGTGATTTCTGCACATTTGTTTTAAAAATGATATATTAGCTTTATTTTATTATTGCTGTTTATAAAATCAATAAAAGAAAAATATTATAAACATATTTTACTTACTCTTCTCATTATTGCTATTGCTTCCAATGATAAAAATCTAGGATAGCGTACTTCATCATTAACTATAGAATCAAAAACTTCTTCTTCATCGTCTCCCGGGAAAGGTGACTGGTAAATCAATACACACATTAAATTTTCGAAAACAAACTGACCAAAATAAAATATAATTAGAATGCACCGGTTTTTCACTTACCTCTCCTACAAGCATTTCAAATATTAAAACTCCCAATCCCCACCAATCCACAGCTCTTGTATACGAAGTTTCAGTTAGAACTTCAGGGGCCAAAAATTCGGGCGTTCCACAAAAAGTTCCTGTTCTATCTCCGTGTCCCATTCCTTCCTTGCATAATCCAAAATCGGCAATTTTCACATAACCATCAGTGTCCAGAAGCAAATTATCTAGTTTCAAATCACGATAAACAATCCTATTTTCATGAAGGTACTGCAAACCTAAAACCACACAAGCTGCGTAAAAAACTGCACGAGGTTCCGAAAAGACGTCAGCATGGATGTGCATCATGAGATCGCCGCCTGCCGCGTATTCCATAACGAAACAGACATGAGCCTTGAAAAAAAATTATATATATGTATGAGTTCATAATTTACACTTAGAATCGAATAATTAAAATAAAATCCATTGAATAGATAAAAATATTGATTTGCTAACCTCCGTTTGAAAACAAGCAAAAAGATTAACCAAAAACGGATGTCTCATCGTATTGGCGACTTCGAATATTCTTTTTTCTGATAGCAGTGATTCAACTTCATCTCTTGCGATAATATCTCCCTTCTTTAAAGCCTTTATCGCAAAATATTCTCCAGTGTGACGATATTGTGACAATATAACTTTTCCAAAGTGCCCCCTTCCCAAAACACTCAGCAAACGGAATTGATCCATTGACATGCCTGCATATTGAGAATGTCTGCGCGATTCATAAGCGCTATCACGATATTCCAAAGGTCGTCCTGGTCTACGGCCAATTGCAGCTTGTTGATTTTCATATTGTTGAATTATCTAAAAAATAAAAATAATCATTCAGTCTCTCGTAAAAAATATACCATTCAACATCTATGTATTTAGTAAAAATTTACCTCTTCTTCTGGGAATTCGACCAAAGGTTGTGGCGACGGTGGTACTTCAACAATCGGAGAAGGTGGTACAGATCCTGGCTGCATTGGGAAACCAGAAACAACTAAAGGATGCGTTGAAATAACTGGTCTTAAAAGATCTGGTCTATATTCATTCAGATCATGAGGATGCGGAACGGCGGCGACAGCTTGAGGGATTTTATTTTCAATCGTCATTTTTCCAAACTGATGATTCATCGGATGAATTGGAGAAGTCGCCGTTGACTCCTGATTCAAAAAGTCGAACTCTCTGAGTGCTTTTTGCAACTATGAAAGCCCGAATACAACACACAGGAGGGAGGGACCACCAAAACCAACAAGGAAGAAACAAAAACAACACAAAAAGCTGTTAGTGATGAGCGTGATTAGGTAAACATTGTGTTCAGATAGTGTGCATGTTTATAATTTGTAAAATATTGTTAAATACAATAATTAATTAATTGAAAGGATAAAAACTGGCTATCTGAACGTGATTACAAAAACAAAGGCGTGTGCAAAAAGAATTCTTAAAAAAAAATAATATCAACATATTTAATTAGTCTTAATATATTAATCAAGCAGCATTTACTAAAGCGTTATATATTTGTAACACTGTGTTATACAAATTCTATCAGTAATAATTGAGAATTAGCATCATAATTGATCATTCATCTAAGAGTAACATCAAATTCAAACTGATAATATATGTATTTGCACCTAGCAAGACTTCTTGCATATTGCAATACGAACCGCACACCAGTTACTTGAGTATTTGAATAAAAGCATATAACATTAATAACTACTACCTCAGTGTCCATTCTCGGCGGCAATGCTGGCGGTAAAACTGCTGGTGGTTTTTTTGCACGGGGAGTAACTGGTAGTTGAGATTGATTTTGTTGGAGTAAATGCTGCGTAGGCGGAGTTTGATGCTGCTGGATTTGAGGCATAAATTGAGTTTCTGTTTGAGGTGTAGTGACACCTAATGGACGAGCACCAGATAAACCAGCAGCCTGAGAAACAAATCATTTATGGAAATATATAAAAATAAGATATAAAATTTAAAATCAGGGATAAGAATAAATTAAAACTCACTTGCATATCAGGAATTTCACCAGGTGTTTCAGCCTTATCTTCTGCAAGCGATGTATCGGCCAATGGTTGAACACCAGGAACAGCATCGTTTCTTGTGTTTTGAATGGACGGGGAAGATCTTTTCAGCAATCTACCCCATGTAGCTACATTGATGTTCATCTGGTTAGCTCGTGGAATATTTTTCACTTGTTGCTTGAATATTTTTCTCTGCCTTTGAAGTTTTGGTTTACGCGATATCATAGGATTCAAGAATTTTATCTGAAACAAATTAAAGGATTACGAAAAAGTTTAAAATTCATAATTTTAGTGATCAATATTTACCTCCGCAAAAAGCAGTCCCTGTGGCTCAAGTTGTAAAGCCATACCGTGACGAATATCATCAATAAACTCCTCTAGGCGCAAGAATTTAACTGCGCACAAAGAACGCCAATCACGCCAATAAATGCTAATTTCCAGTTCACGAGATTTATCCAGATCTATGGAAAATCTGTAAATTTGTAATTTTAATATAAATAAAAATACAACTTCGAACTACATTTACTATTTACTTACCTCTGATCCCATGCCTGCTGGGAGCACGGCTTCCAGCTGGTTTGCCCAACAGTCTGATTATCCAATTTTATAACGGCCATTATATCTTGACTTGTTTCATCTTTTACGGAATACGATTTGCTTGATCCTCTTCCTGTAACTCCTTTGACAAAAGATCGAAGATCACCGCCTCCGCCACCGCCTCCACTGCTACTGCTTGTTGGAGAAGAAACGGCATCTTTGTCACGCCGAGATCGACCAGGCACCTAGAAAAAGATGATTAAAAATTACAACTGAATATTTATAATTAAGTACATAAATAGTAATGAAACCATAATACTAACATCCTCTAGGAGATCCTGGCAACCCATTAAACGTACTTCTAATTTTCCAGTTACTGCAGCACATCTATTCATATTGGAAACACCTCCGTGAATGAAACTGCTTTGTATTCTATTCGTCGTGATACCACCTGTTTCATCAAAAATGTAAGTTATATATGAAGTATTTTTTTACTAAATATATTATTAAAAACCTGTAAGCGGTCTAAGTGGTGTATATGTGACAGGTCCTGGACTTGAAGCCTGCGCTTGCTGCAATTCATTTTTGAGTTGATTAGCAGCCGGTGAATCAGGTGGAAGTTCGGATCTCCGCAATTCGAGTGATTTTCTCAATAAATCTAACTTACGGCTAGATTCTTGGAGACTTTGTTGAGCCTAATAGAAAAATGAATTATAAATATTACCATGTAATTTTCTTTGAATGAAAAATTCACATTAAAACTGGAATATTATGTGTACCTACAAACAAGTTGTATTACTAATATAATGCATTAGAACAAGTATGTACTGTAAAATAAATCTATTGCACTCCACCGACTTATAATATTATAAATTATTAATTATTCATAACTGTATTTACAAAGATCTTGCTCAAAATTAGAAAAAAAATCTAACTAATATGAAGCCAGGCTGAGAAAGTTGTTCTGTCAAGACAACATGCCGCGCAGAATTAACTAAAAAAGCCGTTTAAAGCCTTATAATCCTTTCATAAAGCTATATAAAATATAAAAAAATCACAACTGTAAAAAAACATATCAATTCAAGGTGAATTGTCTCAGAAAAGAGATTGAATGTCAGAATCTAATCTAAATCTTTTAAGAGAAATAATATCAAATATAAAAATAAAGTAGTTTTATTACGTGTGATATTGTCTGGGATTTTATTTTAAATTCATTTAAATACGCATGTAATTTTTTAATTTTTGTTCGAATAGTAATCTGAACTACATCTCGAGCATTCTATTTATTATTGATTAAAAAGCAACCCAGTGATTGTCTTTTCTCTTTGTGATAATATTTTTATTGATATTTTTAATAGTTTAGTAAAACGTAATGTAGCAATGTACCGAAAAATATTTAAACTAGCTGTAAGTGGAATTCTGTCTTGAGGCAATTATGGCATCGTGCCTTAAGGCAAATTGCTGGAACTTCCCGCACCGTAACGAAATGTTCGAGGAATACTGAATGTTTTCAAATAGATTATTATAAATATTGTAACATTGTGTAATATTTATAAGAATTATATAAACCGAATTGCAGAGTTGAAATTATTTCTAAAGTATATTAGAACTATAGTCAGAATTAAAAATAAAATCTGAAATATTTTCGATATACAAAATACTAAAAAAAAAAAAAAAAAAAAAAAAAAAAAAAAAAAAAAAAAATTGAACAAACTTTTTTTTTTAAAAATCAATTATTTTGTTAAGACAAGCAGAAAGTTCTTTGAATCATTTAAATCGGACGCTTAGTTCTCTCAAAAACTGCCATTTTTTACATATTTAGCTCCGTATCTTCGAAATGGCTGGGCCTGCCTTTGCCAAAAACTAATAAACACTTCTCCCAATCATTACTAATTGAATGTTTTTTAGATCATTCAAATCGGATACTCCGTTCGCTCAAAAATTCGATTTCTATTTTCTGCATTCTTTGCTCCGTATCTCCGAAACGGCTGAACCTGCCTTTGCCAAAAACTAATCAGCTCTTTTCCCAATCAATAGGAATCGAATGTTTTTTGAACCATTCAAATCGGTTGATCCGTGCGCCCTAAAACGTGACTGGAAATTTGTATCCACACATACATACACACACACACACACACACACACACACACACACACACACACACACACACACACATCCATTTTTTCTGAGGTATGCCAAAACGTTCAGAAACCTTCAAAACGTCGAGAAATGTAAAAATTTTCAATTCCGATTTTCGGCCCATTACAATAACTTACCCTACGGGAAGTTAATAAAATGATTGAAATAGAAAAATTATTGTTTAAAAATATTCGTAGACAAAAATATTATATGCATAATACAACAGAGCATTGAATAAAACACGCAAATGACAAGAAATATACACCCAACAATAAGACAATTATTATATTGTTATTTTATGGGAAGAAAATAAAACAAGTGAGAACAATTGCTTTGCAGAAAACTGTTATATAACATCAATGTAGTTGCTCCAACAAGCTAGTTCCGTAATCCTCCGAGAAAACAACTTTTCCCTTATCAATTAATTGCAATGGCAATATTTTTATTCAAACTTAAACACGATTTACTATGTATAGTATTTACCATAGCGACATTAAAGTTATTTTGAAAATAGTCAACAAAATTGTTTGGCACTTGTTGCAGAACCAGTCGAGTTATTTTTAGTACAGATTAACAAACCCACAGTGAACGCTTCGATTGTGAACGTCTGTCGAAATGCACAAAATAATCATATATTATTCACTTTTTTATTTCTCATAATAAATACATTTAATAAACATTTTATCGATATGCGATACTATTTTTATCAAAAATCGTAATAAAACATTTAATAATCAATATACAAAATGATTTCTTTGATATAGTACATAATGTATAAGTTGAACCAGCCACCAGATACAGTTTATTAATAAAATATTGTCTAAATCAAAAATTAGAATTGATTCATTAATTGCGAAAGAATATAATTATTTGTATCAAAACGAATCTGATAATATTCAACTGAGTCTCATGTGTATTGTTATGAAATGATTAATTGAATAGTTACATGAAGATTCTTATGAATTCGATTACTATGTTTTATATTAAGATGATACAAAATATATTGATGAAATAATTATTACAAATGATATTATGAATATTGAAATACGAAACACGTTTATATGCGTTGAATTTTCTTCCCTTCAGTCGTGAATTATATTATCACAAATCAGTCCACCCTAAACTGACACTTTCTGGTTCTTCGCTCGTATTTCTTTTGCTGTCCCGACGAATGTATGGTCTATGAATTTGTACAGCACCAGCACTAAAAGCTCGCCCCCTGGTTGCACCCCCCATTGACATCCACCTCTTGCAATGCTCACAAGAGCAATTAGGATTTTTGGCAGGACCAACATGATGGCCAGGTTTTTTCAACGTCCCCATAACATTTCCGAAACGCCTTGCACGTTCGAGGTGGCCAGTGAAGTACCCTGGCAATGTATTAATAAATGGAGATGTTGAACGAGATGATTCCTTTTCAGGAATGCTATTTTCTGATTCTTCAACTTTGACAGCGCCAGTGTTACCGATAGTCAATCTATGAACAAAGCCCTTATTTACTGCAGGTTTAATAGTACTTTGTTGTGTATGTTGTAAATCATTATCTTTTTTCGGAATATACTTTCCTTGTTGAACTTGAGGAATATTTATGTTTGAGCTTGTTAAACCACATTCAATTTCAGGATTCTGAACTTTAGTTGCCACACCAGGACTTTGGAGCAGTTTGGATATAGTATCTGAACTGGGTCTCAAATTTGCATTGATTACATCAAATTTATCCTCGTGTATATTATAATAAGATATATGTTCTCCAGGAATGCAGTTTCTTTCATCGGCATCCATGGAAGATATCTGACTACTCATTTGTGTCAATGTCGGCCTATATAAATCAGTTTCTCTGCTTACAATACTACAAGGGCTGTCTTCATCTGTTTTAGAAAATATCCAGCTACTAGTTTCTTCGTCTTCTTCTTCATTACTCTCGTCACTATCTATATGTTGCAGTTTAGATCGTAATTTTCTCTCTACATCAGGCGACTTCCAAGTTTTACTCTGAATCCATAACAATCGGTCTAAAGCTTGAATACGTTCTTTATCTAGAGAGTCTTCGTAATCAAAGCTGTCAATACTTGGTGCCATACTTATCGGTCTGCTATTTGGTGCCGAATTCAATAAAGATTCCATATCCGACGTTGTTGTATCTTTCCAAGAAGTAGCATGACTAGAGAATCCCAGTCTGCTTCCAGAATTCATCAGAGAAGACATCGTTGAAGCGCTCAAACCTTTTGCTATAGTAGACGAAGAAGATGCCATTGAGGGATATCCAGATGAAGAACTCGGTTTAATACCTCCTTTGTGCATCATCCAAGCTCTTGGCAGTTCTTTTGGGTTTGATATCTTTGTATGACTAACACGTACCTTTTCTGATTCAAACACCGTTTGTGGGGTCGATGCTGAGTCGTCATTTTCACTATTAGAGCTTTTCTCACTATTTTCTTCTATATTTTCCTCATCGTCAATCTCGGAACCTGTGCAATAAACATCTATGTGCACTGTGCGCGGTTTTCGAGAATCTGAACTAGAGTTTCCTTCGGAAGTTTTAGAAATTTGCGATTCTGTTTGAGGTAAATTGGTTGATTTTCCGTTTAATTTGATCGGAGTTTGTACAGTCAAATTTGATATTTCGGGAGATGATAATAATTTCGATGCAGGAGAACGGCATAATCGTCGAGGGGTCTGAAAAATACAAAACATAAATAAAATATAAATAAAAAAAACAGAATAATTCTTGATTTCTATGTAGACTAACCGATCGAGAATTCCTCGACCCTAGTATGACGGAATCTGTTTCGTGCCTTCTCCTAGCATAAACCCTATTCTTCCTTCTAACGCTTTCAGCCCTATCCCTTTCATCTTCAGTATCCGCTTCCGTTGGAATAGGGGTTGTTTGGGATGCAGCGTCTCTTATTTCGACCCTTCTCTCCGGTAACTCTGTGCAAAAATGCGTGGTGAAAGTATTCGCTCTCTTAGGAATGGTGTCTGCAGTTACATTTTCAGAAATTGTACTTGATGGGCATCTCAGACTAAAGGCTCTCCTATTAGGTATAGATGGCACCATCTGCATAGCATGAGGCGTTGTCAGTGTTATATTACAAGTGCTCCTGCATTTCTTTTCTTGCGAATGTAAAGAAGCAGGCTTTTCACTTGTATAACCAGAATCGGACATTTGATTACTTTTGCAAGGAGGAACAACAGAAAACGTCATACCACCACGATTGAAACCGTACCTATCAGTAGTAGGATTCAATACTGTGGCAGCTGCACCACCTGAGTCATCTCCACTGTGCCCATGCCAAGAATAAACTACCCGGACATTTCCATCTTCTGATGGATTTTCGCTTCCTGTTCTTGTTTCCTGTCCAGGATGAGATATAGTGACTTGCGCGTGCACCGTCCATTCCGCTGTTATTTCTGGTCTGTTGAACATATTTCACGTATTGCACACCTGCATAGATTTTTTTCTTTACGAGTTCTTTTGGAAGTGATTTAAATTTTGTCATAATTGTATGCGAGATATCATTATCCTCAGCGTTCGTTCGATGTGATTCGACTTTCTTCAAAAACTTTGTTTCAGTATTCAAAACAACTTGATGTAAAAATAACTTAAACAACAGTCCTCACCCTTGCACTAAATAACACTATATTGTTTGTTTGAAATATAGTTATTTAGAAACGTTTTAATTAAAAAAAACGTGCAAACACAACCAGTTACCAATGTGGTTAGCTGTAAATTTTAATACAATTAAATCAAATTTTCATCTTCTCAATTAGTTTCTAGAACTATTTATCTTAGAACTTATGAACTAATTTTTTTATAAAAAAAAATGTTGACCAAGTGACAACATATGACCCAGTAGGGCAACAAACCGCGATAAATGCAGGATGATAGGATTCTAAATATATGCGAAATATAAATTTAGAACGCGGAACGCACTAGTTACACATTCAGAAATGGCTTCTAAGACAAACCTTCGAGTTAGCACAATTTCCTAACGATTTATATCGAAACTAGATTGGAATGTTTATTCAACAATTTAGAGATGTAAGCCAGATGCTGTAGAATATTAGAGTTTCTCCATTTGGGACTCTGGAATTCTCCATGAAAATATTTCTTTCAAAAATCTACTATAAAATAGCATGTGTGTTTGCTTTTTTCAAAAATATGAAACGAAATGATTTACAAAACAGTGGAAAAAAAATCACAATAAATAAATTGACGTAAATTGCTAAAAAAGTCGTACAATTTAAGTAAAAGCTATAGCTGTCATATAGATAAATTATATTCATTGCAATAACTAACTAATGACATATCTTATTTGTATAATAAATGGTCATTTCTATAATAAAATAAGTTTGAGGAAAGCAAACCGAGTTTGATAAGATTTTTTTTAAATCTACACACTTGAAAGTACATTTTGATGTGAGATATAAACATGAATAAAACTATAAGGAAAATTCAATAATTTGATGTTGACTGTTCTATAAATAAGCAAATTTACGTTCCTACAGTATCATCTTCGAATAATGGTGGGATTTTCTACGACGTTTCTCAATATTAAAACTAAGATATACATATGAAGAAACTGAGCCATTGCCCACTGACTAGCCAAAATTAAACCACAACTATACACGTGCAATAATGCAGGTGTGTGACCACTGTAAAAATACCACAAAATTCTTTAAATGATTTGTAGATTTCAGGTCCTGATTTTAATATTAATAAACATTTAAATAATATCTTTGTTTTTTTAAAGCGTGTAATCATTGTATGTGCATTACGCAATCATTTAGAAAGCTTTGAAAATTAAAATCAATCAAATGGGTTTAATTATTATATCACTGAAATATCATAAAAACGATAGAATAAATTCGTTTCCGCTTTTGATAAATGTAAATGTAAAAAGAAGAAACTGAGTTAAAACTTTCTACAAGAAAAGCAAATAAATGGATAAAAAATTCAAACGGACAACTATCGGCAATAATTTTTAACTGGTCTAAATCATATAAAATTTATTTTTGGTCATATTGCAAATGTAGTAAATGTACGATAAATATCAACAGACGTTGCAGACTAATATAAAATGAGAAGATGAAAATTAATTTCCACACATACTATTAAATTTAAAACACTCGAACAAAACAGAAACAAACACTTAAATTTCACTGATTGCTCTCATTACTAATAACACACTATCAGTGCCAGAACACTTTTATGCACTTGAGTATAACTCCTCGGCGGAAAAATGTTTAAAGTATCTACCGAGTGAATAAAGATGTAAATTTATTTTTTTTTATTTCATTGAGAAGAAAGGTATCACAGTATTTCGTTTAATAGGAGCGGTCGGCGCACGACTAATGTGATTTTGTTTCAAAAGCGTCCGGCAATCATAGCATAGGCGTTCTCGGACTTATTTTAATCCAAACTTAACGCATACGACTAGAACTTATAGAAAGAGCGCCGATGAGAATTCTAAAGATATAATTAGTAAACATAAAACTTAAAATAATTTTTTACTAATTTTATAAAAATTATTGGCGTAATATTTGGTTAAACAAAAAATGTGAAAACACTCACATGTCAGTGGTATCTTAATTGCATGCATGTTTTCGGGCTTGGACAGAAAGGAGCTTTGTTACAGGAGTTTTACAAGTTATGCTAACAGTTATAATTATTATAACAAAAAAAATTAATTGATTTAGATAATGTAGATAATGTTATTCTAATCTAATAATGTATGAAAAATTTGTGTTAAAAATAGTTTGTGTTAAATCGGTCATCATAGAATATGCTTGATTTTTTTTCATAAGTATATATTCCTGAATTATGTTTTATTAATTTCCCATAGGGTAAGTTATAATAATGAGCCCAAAATCTAATATGAAAATTTTTGCGTATCTTCATGTTTTGGTGGTGTCAGCGCATTTTGGCATACCTCAAAAAAATAGATGCGTGTGTATGTATGGATACAATTTTTCGTCAACGTTTTCGGGCGCATGGATCAACCGATTCGAATGATAAAAAAATCGAATCTTATTGATAGGGAGATGTGCTAATTAGTGCACCCGAAGGAAAGAGGCCAGAAAATAGAAATAGAATTTTTGAGATGACGGAGTATCCGATGTAAATGATCCAAAAAATATTCAATTTGCTGGGTTTTATAATTTTAATAAATCTTCAAACATAATATTTTGTATAATTACTTATATTTAAAATAATCCTCCGGCTATAAATTATTTTTTGATAAACCTACCAGCCCCATGTCCACTTCATAATGTGTATACTCCGAACATCAGGCACACAGCCAAAGATTGCAATTTGAAATTTGAAGAGAAAAGTATCATAAAACATCTGTTTAAGATGTCAAAAAAAATAGTTAATGGTTTTAAAAAAAAACTAGTGATGTCACACTTTGTAAAAATTATGATTCATAAATTTATTAATTTAGAATTTAAATATTCTAGACGGAATAGATTATCTTCTATATATATAAAAATAAGTCGGGTTTTCCTTCCTGACGAAATAACTCCAGAACGCACGAACCGATTTTGCATTCGTTGGAAAGGTCTCGGGTTCCGAAAGGTTTATAGCTAAGAAAATTAGTGGTGCATGGCATCCTGCCCTACTGCAAATTGCTGGAACTTCACGCACCGTAAATAAAAATTCGAGTAATGACATTAGTGAGAATTATCAGAATTATGCTTGGTTAAGTCAACGAGCAATTCTTGCCGCAAAGAATAATGATGTACACGCACTGAATTTCACCATTAAATCAAAAATTGCTGGCGGTTTGGTGACATACCAATGATTCCGACTGGTCTGCGGTTTGACTTTAAACAATTGCAATTTTCAGTTTGCCTTGCGTTCGCAATAACAAGTCGCAAGGCCAATCACTTAGTGTTTGCGGGATAAATTTCAAATAGATTATTTAAAAAATCATTGATTTGCACATGGGCAGTTATACGTTGCCTGTTCACGAATTGGAAAACCATCCGTTTTGTTTGTGTTAACGTCAGACCAAAAAACAAAAAATGTGGTTTACCAAAGAGCACTTCAATGAAACGGATAATTTGTGGATTCACTTTCATTTACTTAGAAAAGTTCAACTAAAAAACACTTCATTTTTGTAATCGAAATAAATTCATTACTGTTGTATAAGATCAAATTTTTCCTTATCAATTATAAAACAAACAAAAAATTTCTTTATCTTTCTCACGAAACCATCTGGTGGCGAAACGAAGTTCGTCGGGTTTGCTAGTATTATATAATAATGAACCCAATATTAATTAACCTAATTTATTATGTACTATATGAGTAAGTTTGTCTACAATTGATCTTAGTATATCTGAATTTTAAGTGATGAACCTCCTTTTCATGTTCATGTTAAAACATGATATTCAGAATATTAATAAAAACAAAAGATAAACTTATTCCATTCTAATCTAATAATATCGCATGTATAATAACTCAAGCACGCAACATTCAAAGATACCAAAAAATCTTTTAGCCGGCAAAAAAATATGTTGATCAAAATGAAAATCGTATCTCAACGCGAATATTTTTAACGCAAAGAAACTATAGAAATGGGTGACGCACAATTTTGTTATACATTCGAATATTTTCGAACATATTTTAGAACAATGTCACAATCAAAAGCTAGGACTCGAGAAGTGTATGTTTATATTAGAATCGGACGAAAATAAATCAACCACTGTGTTCTCGATCTAGATAGGATAACAGAAATAATTAAGAACGACCATAACTTATCGGACTTTGTTATTTTTGGTAATAGGGCTATGATATTATTAGTAAGAAATCATTTATACATTATATAAGGCATTTTTATAAGTCGACTAACCTCTTGTAAAGCCTTCTTGTCGGCCACCTTGGACCCGCTTTGTAGTAACCTAATAACATTTTTAGCGCCTTCCACGACAGCAGCTTCAATTCTTAAACGATGCCTTAATTCTTCGACACGTTCTTCAACTGGAGGCTCCAACTGTTGTTGTGGATTTCCAGGACCTCCAGAACTAGGATCCCGATATTGATTTCCATTACTATTATCTTGTCCGTCGAAACCACCAGGAGAATTTGTGTGATAATCGTGATGTTGGCGTGATTGACGAAACTGCGAAAAATGTAAATATTAAGCACAATGTAACATTTTTTAATTAACAAATTAGTTAAATTATTAAGCACTTACTCTAAGTATGCGCATCTTAAGAAAATCTATTTTAGCTTTGCTGTCAGCCAGCATTTGCAAGGCTTCTTGCAATAATTTCTTATCCCTCGAATGATGTCCGCCAGTAATGCTCTGAATCATATTTTCAGCTCCTTGTTTGACTTTTAATTCGATATTCAGCTGTTTTTCTAAGGAGAGCAGCCTAGCTGCCGTTGGATCATGAGGAGATGAAGATGGCTGCTGGCCAACTCCTGGAGACATTGGAGAATCTGAAAATAATTAAAAAATAAATGAATTTAACGATAATTGTATACATTTTTATCTTTATTATCTTTGAGCATTTAACTCGACAACAAAAAACTTATACAATAACATTTTCTTACTACAAATTACTAAATTACTTCGTCTTAATAAGACAACAATTAAGGTAATCCATCAGTCATAACTCAGTAATTAGGTGAAATTTCAAATACGGTTTTATTTCAATCTTTTCATCTGTCTTTGTTGAGAGCGACATCGGCTTTGAAATGATAGAAAACACGGAATATTAAATAGATATCTTGAGGAAAATTACAAATTGCATTTCAAAAGCAAGATATATTTTTATAAAGAAAAAAGAAATTGCTTTTGTACACTATGTTTCAATAAATAAATAAATATAACAGTTAAATAAATAAATTATTATGGATATTATATATGGATTAATTTTTGGTCTTCATAGTTTCTCATTTAGTGTCAGAATGCAACTTTCGCACCGACTCTTCGTTTATAGATGAAATCCGCTTCTCTAGAATGCATTCGACGGTAATAGTAGAAGTAACTGAATATATATTATTAGAGTAATGATAGTAATCATTTAGTCTTTGCTTTCTATAAAATGGTACTAAATCTCCTCCGCGAAACCAAATGCAATGTCACAAGGTTTCAAAGTTAATATCTTGAAAGTATGAGTATGACAGTGGTAGGACTTTAACATTACTCAGATAAAATAAAAAGCATCTCCTTTGTTTTATTTTTGAAATTTGCTTCATTATATTTTATTTGGAACTTTTCTCGTTATGTTATTTAAAACACTTAAATACGTATTTAATAATAGTTTTGACTGGCGCAAGGTACTCTATAAGTAATTACTGAGAAATCTCTACGGTTCGCCTTCCATTTTATTACGCTGATTTTCAATGTTCTACAAATCATCAATGAATTAATTTGTGTAACAATAAATCTAACAAAATGCCATAAGTAAACCATATGCGCTTTCGTCAAACAAGCCGCTACTTTCTAAATAACAACAAAGAATAAACGAATTAATCTCAATAAAAAGGAGGTTAATAAGCTTATTTGCGGCGAGCGTTATGTTCAGAGCATGCGATTCAGATGCAAATAACTGGAAAATTAATGAATGATAAAGTAAGATACCTTGCACACTTTAGTGCACGATAAAAATATATTCAAGTTTATAAATATTACATTTATTTATTTACCTTGGCCATTGCAATAATCTTCTGGAGCACCGGTCGCCGTCGTTCCGCCTCTCGTTAAAATAATTTGGGATTCTAATTCTAGTAATTCGGATTTTAATTCGGCCAGACGTGCGTTGCTTTTTTTAACAATTCCGGCCACATCGGAAAGGGATCTGAAAAAAAAAACAATAATAAAAATATCGTTTTTTGAGTATATTATAAGGTAAATAATTAAAATAATGCAGTAATTTAAAAACTATCATTCGTTTTTAAGAACTCATGACCAATAGAAACTTTAATAATAATTGTACAAATTCCTTCAATAAAATAAATAATAACTTCTCATACTGTACCTTCTATTTTTCTATAATTACCTTCTATCTGTGGCAACCTCCCGTAGTTTTTCGGCGCCTTCCTTAATTTTCAATTCTTTTCGAATTTCGCGCCTAACACGCTCTTTTAATTCTTCTAATTTGCAAGGCAGAGCCGATTCGGGCACGTGGTCTGTTTGAAGTCCATACTTGTGACTTAATTCGTACAGGACCGGATGGCGGATGTATTCGCCCTGGAAAAGAAAATAACAAATATATACATTTATCAGATTATTTTTTATTATTTACATTTCATCAGATATGAGTTATACAGGCATAGAAAAAGAATCATAGGGACAGGCTGTCTGAACATACTATTAGGATATTAGTACGAAAGTTGTTCGAACAAAATCATAACAGAAGAATTAAATAAAAATACTAATGATAAATGTATTTTTTTTCATTTTTGCCTTTTTGTACTATTATCAAAGCGTTTATAATTGCACCAAAAAGTTTATAATTTTAATTTTAATGAAATTCAGATGGTGGAAACTATATAATTAAACATAATAAAAAATATAGAATTCTTGTATTTTATTTGCCATGTGTTTTGCTTTCTAATTAATTATTACATCCATTTACCTGTATCTTATCCAAATTAATTATTGCCTGTTATCCGCTTCAGACAAATTTCGAAATTTAATAATTAAAAATCTGATTTTTCAAAATGATAGAAATTTATTTCATGTATAAAAAGGAACAAGGTTGATGGTGCAATAGTTATTCATCAACATCCGTTTATAAATAAAAAAAATCTGATCATACAATAAATTTCCGTTGGCCTATACAATGAAACCGTTACAAATGGCCGGGTTATTAAATTATTTGCATTAAATAAAAATAACCATGGATACAAAAAATATGTATATATAAAATTACAAATTCAATTATTTTCGAATAAATAATATATTCGCAAAGCTATCAGTAAGTAATCAAAACATTCACAAACATTTTCTAATAGGATAAATATCGAAAGCACCAATAAATATGACCAGAAATTATTTGATATTAAATTTAGTTAATTTCGCCCATAAAATTTCAAAAATATTAAATACAAATAAAAATTCAACACGATACAATATTGTTAATCATCATATATAAATATTACTAAAAAAATTTGAATAACAAAATATCTAATTAACAAATCACCAGCAATTCAATATATTAAAACAAATATCAAAGAAATTCATTATTTTTTCGAATATTTAAAACAATACGAAATGCCTAAATGAAATTTGCCTAATTAATCAGTCATTAACCTACATTCTGAATTATTTATTTGGAATGTTCAAATTCTGATTCAGAACTCGTTTCAATGCAAAAAATTTATGGTAGGCGGACGCCTTGTTTGGATAATTACCGATTTACAGTTTTTATTGTTAAAAATGGCTAGAAATCTAATATATGCATATATATATGTATGTATAAATATATTTATCATGAAATTCAATAATAAATGGATTTTTTTTCATATTTTATACATTTTGACACCAATCCAAAAATTTCGTTTTTTACTTTGCTATGCAACTGCAAAATAATCCACCCTTCGACAAACGTTTCAAATAAATTCTCATCCAAATGTAAGATTTTTGGGTTAAAAAAGTCCTTGCTGCGGTTTTAATAAATTACTTATTTTCGAATTATTATTATTTATATGCTTTGTTATAATTGTTTTAAATTGTTTCCTATTTTTGAATTTAATTTTGTGTTGATAAAGACGCTTATTGCTAAGATTTTGGCTTTGTTTCACCTATGTAAGTGAGTTCTATCAATCTAAGCATTTTATCTACAAAATTGAATAAATGTCTATCAATATTTAAAAATGCTTAATATGAAATTCACAATAAATATTCTATATAATTTGTGTTTTAATTTAGACATTTTTGAAATTGTTAAATTAATTCAATATTTTAATATAATTCCTCTATCCATAAATGAATAATTTTATTCATTTGCGGCCAAATTTGAACTCATTAGATTTATAGTCTAACGACTTATTTTCCATGATAAATGTGTATTTATTCTTGTCATTGTCAAATATAAAATACAAAATGTTTACCGAGTACGAACGATCAAGCAAAGATTTTTTTCATGAATAAATTTTCTGCGAGCGCGAATACAAAACCGAACGGGCCGTGAAAATAAATGAAGCGTTTTCATTGCGTACACAAACGATTGAACAATTACATAAAACAATGATAAAGGAATAGTAATGATATGGAATAGATCATCAGTATAAAACCCACTCAAACAGAATAAAACCCATCGACATGACGAATAGAAGCAAGCCTAAAATCTAGGCTCATATGATGAGGAAGAACTAATCAATTTTCACAGCTGCGGTAATAATTTTAAAACCGCATAATCTGATTAACGAACATGAAAAAGGTTTTTTTGATAATTATAATGAAAAAATAATATGGAGCATTGATAGCATTAATTATTAATGTATAGTATATTTATCTGCTAATTATAAAGATCTAAACGACTTACTCAAGTCAATTCCTAAAACTAATATACACAAGTATTTATCTAGTAATCGTATAGCTTTTAAATTATTAAATTCGGTTCGCCATTTTTGAGGAAAAAAATTAAGGAAAATTTACTACAAGTGATCCTGAGAGACTACAAGAAAATTACTACTTAAATACTTCATTTCTGACTATAGTCTGAAGTATACTTCAGTAATTAATTATTACATAATATAACTCTATATATAAACACAAATGTATCAATGAAAAAACAAATAAAATAAAAATGTAAAACTATTATATCAATTGCTAAAATATAACAACATTGTGAATGTTGAAAATAGAAAAAATATATATATGACCTCTATGTGCTTTTACATTTTGGTTTTTGAACAAAATTTAATTAAATTTTAAAAATTGTTATATACTTTATTAACATTTTTTATAGGACAATCGAGGAACCCCATCACACTACATTAGCAATAAATAAAATTGGCTTTTCTCAAATGTAGTGAGCAATTTCATATCAAATATTGCTAAAAAAAATTATACTAATTGTTTGATTAAATTGAATCCAATTGGATTTGATTATTAGATCATTATAAATGTTTGTTTCTAATGCAATAAGTACCATTTTAAATAAAGAGATGAAAAATTCAGATATATACATACAATTTTAAAAAATATGTTATTGGACCCCGGATTACATATAAAACTTTTAAGTTTTGATGATAAGTTTTACCAAGAATTTAAGTTTATATACGTTAATATATATAAGAATATAGTTTATATACGTTAAGAGTAACTAAACTAGGAAAATGAATCAAATTTTTATCTAGATAGTAGTCAAAAAAGTTTTAATTTTATTAAAATGTATTTATGAATTGCTGTTTGGAAAAACATCAAGACGAGGCCTACAAAATATAACTACATGAAAAATATAACTAAAAATAAACCAGGGAGGGTAAATTTATTAAAAAAACATTTGTAACCAAACAATAACTACTACACTTGTAATTAAAAAAAATGAAAATGTAGAAAATTTATTTTTACATTTATTGAGCAATTAGAGTTTAATTTCAATACTGAGAATATTGCTAAAATTAAAATGGTACATTGTTCTCCAACTATACAACAGATGCAATTATGGTTGAAGACAACAATAAGCCTAGATATTTTTCAGATTCATTGGGAGATTTAAAAGCTATATAAATTATAGATTTGCACATTAGTAATTATTAGTGATAAATCTTCACTATAAATATTTTTTTATAATTAACAAACTCTGTCTGGGATACTCCTTGTCATCAAATGTCGACGTTTTGTACTATATATTTTTTTATTAACCATAATTTAGT